AATGAATTTCAAATGCCAAGGTCAAACAAATCAAGGTGTTGGCTTCCAGCATACTTTATGATTACTCATGTCTCAAACAGGAATTTATTGGAATTTAATGGGGGCAGCTGCATTAAGGTGTAACTTCTGCTAGGTTTTTCTTTAGCTTTATTTTTCTTTAAATAAAATCAGTTTGTAAACAAAAATGGGTTTTTCAGAAACCTCAATCCAGCCCTCTTCCCTGCACCACCACCCCATCAAACCCATAAAGGGGAAAACAATCAAAAATCTCACCTCTTATAAACAAGTGAAAAGTTAATAGTTATTTTTGGTTAGTCTTTATATGAGTTACTGTGTTAAAGCTTTTATTCTTTAATGTTATCATTATGTATGTACACATTATTAATTTTAAATGATTTATCTAACTGATTCCTTTTGTTACCTGGCTAGCAGGGAAAAGGGGTCGAGGCCGGTCCTGACCTGTTACAATGAAGACTGACTTGCTATGTGGGATTACACCAGAAGCTTGCAGTGGAGTAATGGTAAGGAAATCAAGCAACCTTAAATATCTCGGCTGTATAGGAGCATATTCTATTGCAGAAGACCTTCCTATGAAGATCATGGAATCAAATACAGGACATTGAACTAATACTTGGACTTTGATATGAATTTCTTTAACAATTTTCTCTGCAGTGCAAGTTATTAAACTAAAGCTACTCTATTTTCCAAATGTGTTCCAACAGAAATCCTTCATAACTTCTAGCATGGTATCTTAATAAAGAATAAAGTTCTTCTCTTTAAAAAATCTGCTCTAAGTAGATTTTTCCCCTGTTTTTTTAAATTAAGGATCCCAGCAGTGGTTTTCTGAACTATTCTCTTGAATTTGTGCATTTAAATTTTATTGCAGTGGCATAGATGAATACCATTGTTGGTATCCTTAAATTTTATTTCTGCTCACCAAGGTTAATCATGATTGTCTATATCTTTTTTATAGTAATCACTTTTGAATTGTGTTCAGATATGCAGTTTCAGGTGTAATCATCAGAGCTGGTTAGTCAGGCATTCCAGATAGTGGTTCTTTTCAGAACCTTTTTTAAAGGGTTGGTTAACTACCTCAGTAGCAGAGGATTGAACTATACCCTGTCTGTACTGTACATAGAAAATCTTTGTAGATAAAAGCAAGGCTTGTTAAATGATATGAGGGTAAGATTTTAATATACCAAATGTAACATTCTTAGTTGCCTTTAGTTTCAGAGGCTTGTAAGACTTCCTCATGACCATCATAACAGGCCTTGCTTTTGTCGTATTTTGTGGCTGAAAAAGCAGCCTTGCTTCTTCAGATATTGTAGTTATTTGGATGTATAATAGTTTAGCAAGATGTTACTTTTGTAAGACATCAGATGTTCAAAAAAAAGTGCATCCGAACTTGTACTAAATACTGCAGTGTCCCTTTATAAAAAGTCAGACTAAAACTGACAATTGTACAGCGAAGCCTGACATTTGGATATTTTGAAGTTTTTTCATAAATCATAGAAATTAGTATATGGCTGTAGTTTAGCTTTTTAGGTAAAAGGTATGTTTCATTAGTGCATTTCTTATTGCTGATCACTGCAAAAATGTGAGTCAGCTTTCCATTTCTTATGCAGGTCATGATAACTTGTAGAATAGAGTACAATCATTTGTGCTGTTTTTAATTTTCTAAAGCACCTTGATGACAGTGAGTGTTCAGTGGTGAAGCATCCTCTATTGAATCACCCTCAAAAAAATTTTTGCCAAGTCCTAAATTGATAGCTTAAAGTCAAAAGTGAAATTATAGTTTAATTAGGACTTGGTATAAAGAAATCCCTTCCCCCTTCCCCAAAGGGATACTGCAGTTATATCACAATACCCAATAGGCACCACAATGAAGATCAGAGCTTATTATACTTAATTAAGGTTTTATACACACCAGTTCCCCCAGTAAATGCAAATTTAACAAGAAAATTAGACATGTCATATGTTCAAAATGCTCATGGCAAACAATCATTTTGCATTCCTGCAAATAAAATTGTTTTATACTGTAAGCTGGAGGCGAGTGTAACTTATTTTTGTAATAAAGTTTTTATTTTTTTTATGTGTCATTAATATAAATGTGTGTTAGTGTAGAAATATTCTGGTTTAAAAATTTAGAAATGCACACATTTTAGTATGTTTATTTGTACCTACATAATTTTAGAATAGTGGTTGCCAATAGCCTGTATGTTTCACATTAATTGGTTTTTTTTTTGTTATCTTAATAAACCATTTTAGTATGTTGTATGTCAGTTACTGGGATAGCTGGGACATAGAGTGTAATTTAAATTTTGTCAAGTATTCATTGGAATATATGTAAATGTGCCTTGCCGGTTATTGAAACTTACCTACAAAATGAGTATGGGGTGACAAAAATTAGTTCTGGTGCTTAATGAAACTTTCTGCCACTGATTTTGTATATTACCCCGTGCTTTTTTAAAGTACATCTCTCTCAAATCTCAGCGTAAGTTTGAGGGCTACACAAAACATTTACATTTCATTCTAACATATAATGAGTATAATAGGTTGTAGAAAGTTGGGTAAACTAAATGTAGCCTTCAGTAAAATTGAATCTCAGTGTAATCCTTGGTGCTGGCATTTTCCAGTTCCAAGGAGTTAAATGATACCATCAAAGAGGTCATTGCCATGCCTATTGGCACTTTACTGTCATACCCCCTTTAAGGGACACTGTCAAGGTGTTTAAGTTAATTCCCAGAATTACTTGTTGGAATTATAGGATGGGTTTGTTTGACTTAAGAACTGCATTGTCAAAGTTGAAAGATGAACATTTTTGTGAGTTCACAAATGTGTTCTTAAAACATTTAGAGCTGTGGGTTTCTAAGACTATTTGGCATTCGTAGTTTGGGGTTTGGGAGGGAAAACAAATACGAAGAATTGATGGGTAATGTAAACAGTGGTGATGAAATATATATATACACTCAAGTGAAATTACTTGACAGTGTTCATTTGAATAACTTTGAATTCAAGCCATTATAATTTTAAAATTAAATATCGTTTGCACTGTTCTGATAATGGGTGCAGTTTTTGAGCAATATAATCAGAGCTAAATATGCATGTAGTGATTAGTGATGTGAACAATTAAGTTCTGAGAAGAAATACTAACTGGTATTTTCAAACTTAAATTTCTGTAGTAAAATCAGTATCAAACTCTTATCAGAGATCAAGGAAAACAGGCAATGCATATAAACATACTTTTGAATGTTGTGTGGCCTATAAAGCAATAATGCAATTTATATGGAATGTCATGGGATATGAGAAATGGAAATGCAAAAATAACTAATCCTTTAGTAAAAAATGTCAACTTGTTAAAAGGGGAATGTTAACTAATGTAGGTTATTGCTATTTGTGATTTGTTTATGGGTTCTTGGCTTTGACAGCTTCAAAGAATGGATAGATGACAAGTTAAAAAAAATTGTATATATTGTCAAGGAATGGATCTTAAATCTGAGTCAAGTCCCTTCCTTGGGATAAAAAAATGTATCTCCTTAAAGCATTGATTGTAACAAAACAAATCTTAAGTTACCGAATTTAAAACAGACGCAAGATTTTGTTTCTGCAGACTACTTGGCAATCAAAACGATCATTAGCTCAATAAGTTTTTACAAAGTTTTCTAAGAAAATTGTGTTTCACGTATTTTCCCAAACATCCTTTTTGTTGAAGATTTTCATCCATTGGAACTAAATCAGATATTAGATGTGAAGGGGGAATTGAGCACAAAAAGCAGTTGCACACTCATGATGTTGATTTTTATAGCATCATGAGAAATTTACCAATTTCTGCAAGTCTGATCTAAACAAAGTAGAAACATTTTCCATGTGACAAAATAGGAACAACACAGGAATGGTTTGATGGGTGATCAGTATTCACTTGTATATATTTGAAAAGATTTATTTAATATCAGGACAAAAATCATGCTAGGTGGACAAAATTGTCACACTTATGACAGCTTTTATGCCTGCTGAGCCAAAAGGCACTGTTGACCAGATCACCTTGTTATTACAGATTGACATGTAGTCTCCAAGGGAAGAAACTAAAATGTAGAGACTCTTAAGGCATGGAAAAATAGGGGCAATTCCTAGAGTAAAATGATTGCTCAGGTTTCTAAAGCTTCCAAAAATACCCACCCTGACAGTTTTCTCCCCAAGGATGTATAACATAAGATTTTTTCTGACTAAGAATTGAGAGGTGGGTATAGACAATGACTACAGAACTTAGTGAACAAAATGACCAGACTTGTGGGGATGGTGCTTTAAAGTATGTTAGTCTAATTGTACCACTCAATAGGGCTTGCCACTAAAGATGCTAATCATGAACCAATGTTTGAAGACATTTTTAACTGTGGACAAATAAATTGATAGACTTTTTGGGTCTGTCACTTTTTCAAAAGAGTACCTGTAAGCTATAAGTTGTATTAGTACCACAGTCTGCCTTCAGTAATTACCTAAAATATTTTTTTCTGGACCAGAAGCACTCTGTTGGGGAGAAAAAACTTTTTTATGAAAGCAACTCAGTATTATAACTAATGCCCTGGTCCAAGATGAGGATTTTAATGTTAACAGTAGTCTGATAAATACTTAGAAGTCTGACATTGAGAAACAAAAGCTTGTACCTGATTAGTATTTTTTATTTAAAAAATATTTGTTCTTTTAGCTTATTTAAATTGTCTTACATTTATTTATCAATAGGATTTAATATTTATTTCATTTCTTTCATCACTGAAAACTGTCTGCAGGCTCTTTGATTTGGATTAGATATGAAGTACTGTCTTTTGCCAAAAACCTCAAATTACCTGTTCTTTTCAACGTAGTGGGTTTGTGCTTGTTTGGAGATCAGTTCAAAACTATCTGTACTATCTGTACTGCCTCTGATGTTAAGATTTTATGTATAGCATAAGGAAGCTAGCTCTGACTATATTTTCCTAAGAATAAAGACCTATTTTTGTAGCATGTCTTAGGATCTCCAGGAGTCGAAGAATTATTGCGGGTGTTCTCCATTTCATTTTGCACTTAACAACTTGTAGACACTTGGAAATTTAGAGCTCTTTCACTTTTTGATTATCTGTGCATTCAAATTAACTAGCTATTGGGAAAAACAAATGCCCCAGAACACCTGATTCAGTACATGATGGGGAGATGGATAGAAAAGTAATGTAGTTTTGTTCTTCACTTAATTGATGCAAATATTCTCTGGTCTCACACACATGTCAGCAGACTCAAGAAGTTAATGGTAATTTGGTTCTGCATTTCTGGGAACATGCCTCATTAGTGCAGTGTTGTTTTTCCATTCTCTTAGTCACTATTGCTCTGAAGATTTGGAAACTATTAGAGATTGAGGTTGCAGGTAATTCAGGAAAGATGAGTGAATAAATGGTCTCAAAACGTTGCACATTTCATGACTGCTCATGGTTAAGTAGATGGACTCAGCTAATACTTTAAAATTGGCAAATCCAAGGATGGGATTGTACATTTTGGGGCGGGGGGGACGACTAGAACTTCTGGGTGGGAGGTTTGGACAGCTGTAGTTTTGGCCAATTCATTGGATCGCTTAGTACAGAATTTAGCATTGGATTGCCAAAATTTATACTAAATGAAACGAACTTCTGTCAACTTAGCACAGTCAATGGAAGTTTACCTGAAAAATTCTGGTGCACCAGTTGGAGCACTTTGAAAACCGTATGATGTTCCCTGTTTGTACAGATGTCAAACTAGTACTTTTTTCTTTTGTTGAAATAAGGCTGCTGGTTGAGTAAAAGTGGATGACTGGGAAGTCCTAATAAACAATTGGAAATTAGTGTCCTCAAGTGTTAGATTCCTAAAATGTGTTTTTAACACAAGCAGTAAACTGAGCAAGATAAGGTTATTTTAGAATAGTGTAAGCGTCAATGAATATGATTGTTTACAAGGTTGATTAGAAACAAGGTCTAAATCTGAGGGGAATAAAGACTGCTACTTAATGTTCTTAGGCTTTCATCTATTCTGAAAAAAATTGTGACAAAACATTTGTTTGGAGAGAATTTTATGATACCTGAGGGAATTGGAATTTTCTGTCACTTGTAAACAATAACTAGTTTTGTTGTTCAGGCAAAAGGACAGAGGTTTTGATGTGGCTAAAGTTGTGCCACAGATAAACTGAATAAGAGTAGGATTTGTTGACAGTAACAAAATGTATAGAAAAAGAGTCAAAGTTGGTTAAGTGACATACCAGAAGTATTTTTTGTCTTGTGTAGTTATTTTATAAATGAGATGAAAAAGATCTGAACAGCATTGGTGTGACAAAATTTGGTAACAAAGTGTCCTGATAATTTACTTTTGAAAGTAGAAAATGTTACTACTGTATCATTTAAACAAAATCGGCTAAAATTGTGTGGATTTATGTTATGAGTAAAGAAACCCTTAAAACTTCATTTTCAAGAGGTTATCTTGAATATTGATAATTGTGTTGCTTTAATAAGATTAAAACGAGAATTAGGTCTCATTGTTTAAACAGTTTCTCAGAATATTTAATTGGCATCTGGAGAGCCAGATAAGATTAGTATTTCAGAGTTCATAAAAACTGGAATATAGTTTCAATCCTTTGCTGCCACATGCTATGTAGTATACAGTGTAGATTTTGGGGAAAATTGAGTGTCATTGCTTTTTCTTGACAACATTGCATAAAAGGTGAAGGAATCTTACAATGTTCAGACCTGGTGAAATTTCCTTCAGGCATGGCAAAGTGCAGATTTGTTCATAAATAGGTGATATTTGTAAGTTTGACATTTATAAAACATCATTTAGCCACCAGCAGTTAGGGGCCAATAAGCAGGTCCTGTAGTTAGTAATTTTTCTTACTCTTACTGCTAATTTAAGGATGTTTTTTCCATCTGGCCTCCTTTTAGTATGAAAGCTCTAGGTTGGGTATCTGAATTCTAGGCAGGCATTTAAAAATATTTTTAAACCTGTTTGTATATTTATCGGCTTAGACTTAATTGTGGCGTGTTAACTTGAAAAAGGAATCCTTTCCAACAAGTTTGCAGCATGGAAGACTAAAATTAATGAGCAGGAAATGCAGAGAAAGTAAGTTAAGGCCACAGAGGCCTATGTTTACATTATTCATCTGATACTGAAAAAAAAATCATTGTCTAGAAGTCAAGGGAATAGCAGGCATTGCAATTTTGAGACTGTTCTTTAATATCTACTAGTTAAAGTATTATAGTACCCCCCCCCCGGGGTTTTCTTTTGTTCTGTTATTAAGCTTCATTCTAAGCTACTGAACAAACTTGAATCAACAGATCCTATGTATTTAAGAGGAAGGGGTACTTCAAGATTGAATTTTTGTTTTGTTGAATTAAGAGTTTGAATCCATAAGGATTTCATCAGGTTATTTTGTAGTAATGGTGCGTGAGAAAGGCATGAAAGATAACTACAACTTGAAAACAGATGTTTCTATCTAATTCATACTTAGATTTCAAAAATAACAGCAATGGTTGCATCCCTATGAATAATCTTTGCAAGTTGTAGGTGGTTGAAGTTAAATTGCAAAGGGAGGCTCAGAATTTTAAGATGTCTCAGTACAATATATATGACCTAATTTTGTGCTGAATAAAGGAATTATGCTTATATCCTTGATACTGTGGTAACACTTCAAAGAAATTTAAAAGGCTGGGAAAGGGAAGTACAGGTTATGAAACAGCTTTCAGATAGAGCACAGAATGTGATAGTCCACTCTGCTCATCGCCAGCTGAACTCATTCTCTTGTTATGAGTAGTTGCCTCTCACATCTCAGTGTGTCTAACCCCTCAAGAAGAATTTAGCTAATGCTAGTTACAATCTTTTGCCCAACATTTTTAAATTGAAGGGTTACCTTTGGTTTCAAAGTACACAAGTATCAGGTTAATTTTTCTGTTTGCTCCTCATGTATTAAGAAAGCAGGGTACTCCTGTGCTTAACACTAATACTTTATGCTGTCAGGTTTAGGACACTTGATAACTTACTATCTTATATTTTGCCTAGAGTGAAGATGGTCAAAATGTAAGTATAGTAGGTAGTGTGCTTAGTTACATAGATCAATTTGACAAAATCTGCCTTTTGAAAGACAATGTAGGAATAGATTTTCTTGTATTTCATTTTCTTAGATAAATGATGCTTAAAAGATGAACTATGACTTTTAGTTTCTAATTCCCTGTTACTGAGGTTTCTGATTATTTAATGTTCCTTAATGACTCCTATCATCCTAGGATTCCTTTTTTACCTTCTAGTGCTGGGTCCCATTGTCCCTTACATTCACCTTTCTTGCTACATTTTTCTCTAGTTAATTTTACAGAAAGAATATACAAAATACTGTATTGTGTACCCGAACGGGCGTTTTCACCTTCACCTGGCAATTTGGAGATAACTTTCTAGCTAGTTTCATTTTGCTTCATTCATTTTGTCGAGCTTGATGTTGCTTGTTAAATCTGATTTGAATTATTTGTAGGTTATTTTTCTTAGCATTCAGATGTTTTTACTTTTTTAAGTTTTGTGAGACGCGTATTTTGCTTTGTGCTGGTCAGGGTTTCTTGCTAAAATTGCTTTTCACTTCAGTTTTCTGCTTGCTCTTTGGAGGTTAAATTTGAAGAATTGGACTGGATTATCTTATGTTTAAACTTCTTTCCTCATTTCATCATTAGCTTCTTTATACTTTAAATACATATGTAAAGTGTCACCTTTCTCCAGGGCATAATGACTTGAGATATCAGCAGTAGAGAAGCCTATATATGTATTTTATATATATATATAGGAACTGTCTTGTTCATTACATATATGTATTTTTTAAACTGTTTATTTTTATATTATTTTGTGTCTTTTCCATCTCAGTTGTAATTACATATAAGTATAAATTTCTTATAGGATATCTTACAATAATAGTTCATTTAGGTTATATTTACCTTTTGCAGTTTGATTATCAAATGTTTGATGATTAATATTTATGAAAGAAAGATAATGGTAAATGTAGTCTGCAGTTGCTGAGACTGGATTCAGATGACTTAAGTTCTGAGTGTGTGAGAAGAACATGAGGATTAAAAGTATCTAACACTCTTGGGAATGGGCAGGCAAGGATGGTATAGTCCAAAGCCAGAAAGAGTGCCTAATTGTTGTCCCAAAACCATCCCAGGCAGCTTATTCTCTTTGAGGAAGGAGGAATAAATAAACCCTAAAAGCAGTTTTATAGCCTGTTGAGTCACCTAAATTTTATTCCCCTGCCACTCTTGGCAAACCAGAGGCCTTGCCCTTTTCCTGCCTCCTCATCCCTTGTGGAAAATGCTTCCTGTTTCTTTGTAGCCCTGTGAAATCAAAATTAATATGAGCCTCTTTTTTTTCCTGCAATTGAGTATAAAAAGTGCTATTAAAAACTAGAACGGGGTAGTAAAATACAGTAATATGGTGTATATATTACCTTCAGTTTATTAGAAGAAACCACTTCAATTTGTATCATTTTCATATGATTTAATCTTTTGTCTAGGAAAGGTTTGAATAAAATGTTGAAAAATGAACATATAACAAGGTAACAGGTATATAGAAGATATTTTATGACTGAGGATGCAAATCTAGTGACATTTTTAAATGGGCAAAGCCAGTTATTCTGAAAGTTTTTTGGAACAGTATTACAGTAGAAAAACCATCGAGAATTGTGTTCCTCTTTGTGTTTAATACAGGTTCCTTTATGGTATGCTCTTTTGCCAAGTGGGTGAGACTGTAATCCTTATTTTGACAGGGACTTCTCCAAACTACCCTTTCCAGATTTGATACTTGGGGATTTGATGAATGTTCATGTTAATCTTATAGAATACATTTTATGCTTTTGTCATATGCTCTGTCTCTTTTAGCAAGAGGCTAAATCCTTTAAAATGTGTCTAGCTAAGGGCAATCAGAGTAGTTTGATTATTTTAACTCCTCCAGGCATTAAAAGCTTTATCTTAGGCTTTATGAT